CTTCCGGGGAGAGTAACTTTGGTATTCTGTCAAGGTTCACACTGCTGTCAATTCAACGGCCTAACGGATCGCTACTTAACACAGCTAGAGGCCTTTTCTTAAGAGCAATGCTCATCACTAGCGCTGTACGATCGTGCCTGCTCATTATTATTATTATTATTATTATTATTATTATTACCATTCAACACTTGACAAATGTACAGTTAGTAGTGCCACAACATAAAGTTAACAACAACAAAAAGGGGGAATTGCTAGTTAGTCAAAGGATTTGGAGAGTTTAGAAGGCGTGTTGTGTGGGCAGAGATCTTCCCGGTTGCCAAGGCCGAGAAAGATGGTTGACAAAAAGGACCCCACCCCGAGCATTTGGTCTTAAGACCTAATCCGCAAGGCAGCGGCAAGATTAACGAAGACCGTTGAAATTCTAGTGGCTCCTTCGCCTTCTTTGTGTTCGGTAGCAGTCCACATAGAAGGCGGTGGCCAGCAAGGTTGTACATTCGCTCTCCGTTATATACTCACCTCTGGTTACAGAATTGGGTGTTCAGTGACCCTATAGCCGGTCACATTGGCTTTGACACAGCGCCGTATGAGCTGTTGTGGTATTTGATGGACAACCAGGTGACCAGCCTAGAACTTCCCACGCAGTGAGACGCTGCCGCGTACTGCGCAGTCGAAAGAGCAAAGTCATTCCCCCCACATACACACTTGCCATGTGTCATAAATGCGTTTCCCGAACACAAATACCGGAATCTCGTCTGACGGTCGCAACGTCAGCATGGCGAACAACACGTGGGCTATTGTTTTCGCAACGATCCGTCCACATCATATATAATCTTTGTGTTAGGTCTACTGAACGAGCTTCCACATCACTTCTGCGTTGACACAGCGATTCTCTCTACATTTAAACCAACCAGCTGGTTAAACCCATCGACAAACAATGTACCCTGATTGGGCGTTCCCTCGATACTAACTAGTAACCTGCACAGATGACATCTGAGCTTTGCGTTGTACTACTTCTTTAGTATGCAGACGTAGGGTAACAGCGAGACAGCAGCATGATTGCTGATTTCTCTGGTAGTGTCGTTTCTATTTCCGAACCCATCTACCTGCATTTGTTTTCGAACAGATTTGTCCAACTTTGTGCTCACTGTCAGGCAGCTTGACTACGATCAGACTCCAGATTATGAACGGTTACGACAGCATTTGCTGGGGTTCTCTAAACGCATGAAATCCTCCGTCACTAGTTCCTTACCGAAAGTGGGAACCCATGCAGGCCCGATTAAGCGACTTAGTACGGAGCATCTTTCTCAGGTATATTTGTTATCTTCATATATATTCTAAATTTTATAGCGTCTCGTCATCAACGTATACATACGAACGATTTTTCTCCTAGTCGTTCTTTGTAAACTACCATAGTGAGTAAACCATAAACCGTAATCTGGTCACTTAATGCAAAACAAGCAAGCCTCATCACTCTAGATTTGTTTTCACCGGATGTTCTCACTGCCCCGGATGGTGGAGTGGATCGCCAAGAGCACGCCCAGGCATTGAAATCAATGTACGCAGTTGGACTCCGCTAAACCTCTTTTCGGTTCCGCTGTATTGTCCTTAGAGCATCCTGTGATTAAAAGAGAAATGTCTGCAGAGAAATAGTAGGGGGTCTTTATTGGGCTTTTGAGAAGTTCCGTCGAGGCTAAAATTTGCCACCAGAGATCCGCGAAAATTTACATGCTTTTCTGTATGCATGGTAGCTGTCTGGCTAAGTCTAGCTACGATAATTCTTTTCAAAATTGTGACATTATATGTCGTGTCGCTGCAGCAGCATAAGAGCTGTCTGAAACTCAAGACTTGTACTTTTAATGGCATACACCAAGGTGGTGGAAAGAGGTCACACAGCGCGGGAAACGCGCAAGAAAGGCGTATTTTGAAAATCGGTCACCCACATCCCGGTCTGCTTACTTTAATTTGGGATACCGCTAAATTGCTGGGCGATCAAGGGATAGTGTATGGATCGTGCGCGATTGGCGGGAAGAGGAGATGGGTAGTGGCACCTAAGTGACTTACGCTGCCGTTGTTTTAACGCTTATCGGCCAGTTGCCGAAAGGAAAAGCGCCTACTTTGTTATCCACCGGTTTGATAAATGTGTAGTTGCGAGTAACCTCACAGTATACCCATCCGGCGCGTGACCTACGCTGGTTGCGTGGCACCGAAGCGTCGGTAAGGTTTACGGACGCACAGTTGATTTCTTTATCCCCTATGGTTGGTTCCACCATTTCCGCCCATCTGTGGTGTACCGAATGCTACTCTGGCGTTACTGGGACCACTATAGTGTGATTCTATTGTGTGTACAGATGTGCTTCAGGATGCTCGACCTCGTTTTCTCTTTAAGTTGCTACTCATGTCGCTTCCACAGCGTAACATTGCTGGGATGATGATTATGTAGCTCTACTATTACGGACTCACTTAACATGGCATCACTATGTGTTTTTCGACCATCCTTTGAGTGCTGCTTATTGGGGAACAATCAAAACCATTAACCTCTGCTGTTGGTCGAGGAGATACATGCATCATTCACTTTTCAATTGCATCTCCACAGAGAATTTGGAATCGTGCCCGCCGGATCTTCTATTAAACAACGGTTATCCATACGTAGCTGCCGCTGTGAGAACTCGTGACTTCATGGGACCCAGCAATCTCATCTGCAACCCTCCAACCTTTATCATGGCGAAGGACAAGTTGCATTTTGCGAAACGTTGCTTGCGAGCCATGATGATCTGCCACCGCCTGTAGGTGGCGTTATCTGATGGATAGATGCGCGGGACGCTAGTGGTCATGGATGCGGTTCCTGATGGATCCGTTGGGAGAAAACGGCCGTGTTTTGCCTTTCTAGATTTGTGGTTTATTAGCTACTCCGGTGTGCTCAGTTACATCTAAAAAATTATTGTGTTCTGAGTAAACAGGTGTACGAGAATGGCAGAAAGAATAGCCAAGTCTGGCGCTTCCTGTCATCTTACTCGAAGGCAGATAGACAACAGATTCGTGGTGATACGAACCAAGATTTGTTGTGATTCCAGGGTGTCTTCGTTTGCATCACTGCTTGAGTATGCCTCTTCTCACATATTGCAGTCTTCACCGTCGTTTCTTTGCTTGTCGAGTAAGGTTGACGTTTATAGCCAATCTGGTCACCTAGTTTGCATCCGAAGCACGCCACTTGTTGTGTTGAACTCATACTATTGCCCGCAAACATTTCACACGTTCCCGGCAAGCATGGAGACGAGATTTCAGTGTAAAAATAGCATTCTCTTTTACCTCGTTCTGAAATCGACGACGCCACGGTTTGGCGCATTCACCTGAGTCGAAAGAGGCGTCCAAATCAAGCAAACCAACTATTACAGTTCAATTATGTGTAATACTCTTCGTTTTAGATCCATGCAGTGTAATTATATGTTTAGCGTGTTCTTTTCCTGGGTGGAACTGGCTTACTTTTCACTAACTCTACTTTTCTGGAATCACTGAGTTGCTTGAGTATACTGTCATGGAAAGTTTGAAGCCGAAGAGATCACTGGTTCTAACACGACATTCTTTGCTTTTTGGAACGCTGAGGACAACTGCTTGACAAACACCATCCTTAGGGTAGTTTTGAACAAACCTGCTAGCTCAGCAGCCAGTGTGTCACCATACGCTGTCAGAAACAGTGGAAGAATGTTATCGGTCTGGTTAATATTTCCTACTGTATCAGTTACCTTTCGCGCCAGATTTCTTCAACAAAAGTGCAAGCTGGATGTTAGGATCATTGGTAAGTTCAAATGCGTCTGAAGACAATGCAACGCTACACTGCTCTTCAAACTGTTCTTTTCGAGAATACATCACCTGTCTGTCTTTCTCAGCATTTGTCTCTCACGTAGATTTCCCCTGAGCCTCAGTTTCGGACTAATCTTTCGGTGCTTGGTACTTACGCGACGGCACCCGTTAGTCATACTTCTAATTGAACCTTGGGCAAATTTTCGACATTCTCACCCTTCTGTTTTATAAATATGAATGTCTACCAACGGCTCTAAGCTCTTATATTGAAAGCAGTTACTCCGCAAATAACATATAACTGTCGAAAAAATGTTTACCAAATCCAGGGGCGCAGTCTTATGCTTTCTCCCAGTCAGTGATGTGAGTTGTCATCGTCATCATACAGCATTCAAACTGCCTGGGATGTTACTTTCTACTAATTTGGTGCCGTCGCACATCAGCTGCCAGTTAGTGATAGCCTATCCATTTTCATTCTCTTCGGTACACCTATTGTTCTGCGTCGTTTAACAGCCATCAAATTCTTGCAAGCAGTTTAATGTTCTTTATCTCACGATTCTGTATACGAACTTACTCGCTAAGCTGTCCCAATGACCATCGAGAATAGCATAATTTGCTTATCTAATTTATGGTCAAGCTGATAGTGATTTCCCTTCGTTTTAACTGAGTTATTTACTATCAAGTACTACGTTTACATCGCGCTGCTCATCAAGCTTATTTGCTACTGGGTCTGCTGTTTCATGACAATCTCAGTCTACGAAATAACCAATTACAGAATAACGAACCCATTTTTGTCTGGTCCTTTGGGTGCATTGTATTTCTGTCTTATTCCTAAACGGTTACTGCTTTCCTACAGTCTTGTTTATAGTCGCGGCAACCTGCTCAGCAGCCTAAAACCGCACGGCCCATTAGCAATGCCATGGGCACAATGAAACATCAAAACGTCAGCGTAGGTGACCACCTGGGACTTCGCATGGACGCAAGTGGGAAGAAGCTCTACTCTCACGTGCTGTTCCGGCAGCGCCGTCACCTTCAGTTCGATCGATCGCCAAGAACTCTTCTCGAGGGTAAGGAGATTTAACACGCTTTCATGTCATTAATATCGCGCTGGAAGAGTTAGTATTTTGCAACATATCGACTCAAGCCAACACCAACCCACATCCGTGTCGTTTGATTTATTAATTATTTGTTGCCTTCTATTTTAGTGCCGCTGGCGATTCCGGAGGTGTGGAACGAACCTTATCACAACCCAATGTCTTGTTATCTGATGCTCTCTCAACTCCTAGAACGCCAGCGAGACTGCCTCCCGGTGCAAAGCGTCTTGGTTTCACGGAGATACCCACGCGCTCCAGTCCCAGAATTCGCGCTATGAAACAGTCCGCTTCTGACGAAACGAATGTGACCAAATCTCTCCGAGATCTATTCTCCGACAGTGAAGAAGAATTCGCCTAGCCGGTGTCACCGAAAGCGGCCGAAATTAGGAGACTGGAGAAGCCCAGATATGTGACTCATGTCGAACGTAAATTGCTCAGCCCGTACAACCGCCTTCCGAAAGTCACTCCCCCTCATCCACCAAAACAGCTGAGACAGCTGCTGCCAAACTACGTCAGTCAGGGTTTTGTCAGACATCACCGGAATTGTTAATGCTTTCTAAAGCAGAAGCCCTCGGTCGAAGGGCCGCTGAATTGGCATATCATCATATACATTCCAAGTACTCATAGCGATCGATTTCGCACTCTGATTCATTGTGTGTGTATTATTTTCTCATTCCCAATGATGTGTATTCCTCAGTATTCGCGGACGATATCACTCACCCACATTTTTAGCGGTCGGTGAAATGTGGGCACTTATCCTGAAGTTTCTGACGATTATACTGCTTCTTTGTGCCATTGTTCTACTTCGTTGTGTCTGAGGCTTAACTGTTCGGTTACTGTCAAACTGGATGCTGTGTGTTCGGAGGCGGCTTTTGCTGCGTTCTAGAGTCCTACTCTTTGAAGCCTAGGTTGCTAACAATTGCGGCCGTACGAGACAGCTGCCTCAGGCGATCTTCCACCGTTGTTACTGTGGGGTCGGTGGCGACTCTGCTGACCGCCCTAACCACTCTGGTGCAAGTAGGAATACGTTATGGTTAACGGTTATTCACTGGAACCTCATATTTAGACAGGCCAAGTTACTTTCCATAGAAACTGTCTTGGGATCAGTCTCGCCGTATAGGCTCTTGTCCCGCGTGTGCACGTGATCACAATGTTCACTGGACTTTCGAATCCTGATCTGCGTTGGCCATGGGCGCCTTGACCCCTTGTGTACTGTCTCGCCTCCAACGGACACCATCGGTTTGCAGTCTGTGCACATGATAATATTTCTCTGCTACTTTGGAACGCTGCGTCATCTAGACTACTGTGGACAATCGCTAATGCATTTGTGCATGGCGATACCATTCAACGGTGAACCGCGCTTACTATCCTGGACGAGAACAGCATCTATTTCGTTATATCCGCTGTCACAATTCCACCAGAGTTCGCACCAGATTGTGATAACACAGTATCTCGTTTCCGAGTAAGCTGATGATTGCAAATTCAACTTTTAGCCCATTTCACCAACTCTGCTATATGCAAAGCCAAATCCTGTCACCAGTGTCATGATGCAGGGTATAATTCTCGGAGGTTTTTTATTCCTACTGAATGGAAACAATATTTTTAACATCTTTTCCTTCAGCATACCTTTCCTATTTGCCGATGACATAAAAATCGTTTACACGTTTAGTCCAACTGAGGTTAGTGTAAAGCTAGGCGAAATCCAACATGATTTAAAGGTGCTCGACTCATGGAGCCTCCAACTGTTGATGTCATTCTTTGCTGACAAATGTCACGTACTATCCTACAAATGTGATAACATATTGGGTTCGCTTAACCTTGATGAGAAACCATGGTCTCACTGCCACACTCTTAGTAAGCTTTTGATCCACTACCTCAACACCCTTAACTTCGCCAAACACGCTGTACATACTGCAGCTCAAGCCACTCGGAGCATTAGGTTTCTGTACAAAACCTTCTACTTGAATGAATCAATTAACACTGTGTAAACTAGAAGCATGTCCATTACTTGAGTATAGCCTAATTATCTACTGTAACTAGAGTGCGTGATCGCATGGCATTTTTAGCAAGTAGCCTGTACCGGGAGCTCAAGGAGAGGGATTCAAAAGACAGATCGAGCTGTAGGTAAACTTTTATTGGTACAGTAAAAGATTCCCTATTACATAGCTATAATAAATAAGACACCGTTGATACTCTAGCTAGGGGAACGGAGGATTCACAGCACACAGGGCAGTTGCGCGTTGCAACCGGAACGAGCGCCAAGCGAAAATGGCGATGTGCGAAGCAAGCATTCGAACTCAGCAATCAGTTCAACAAACCACACCGGTTGCCTAGTGTACAATAAAATAATTTTAGTTAGAATTTTACACAGCCAAACCGGGGTATATTCAGACTGCTACACATTGAACGTGCACAACAAGCAGTTATTAAGAGTCTACTCGGCTATTCCACCACCCTTTCTCATAGGGATAGTTGCATTGTCTTAAAACGTGATCCACTGTGGCTGCGAAGAATGCAAATTAACCTTTCCATCTTCTTTCATCCAATTTCCCACAAATACACTCCACACCCTGCAGTACAACGAGCAGCAATGTCAACATATCGCACACCAAATAATACCAACAACAAAGGAAAAGTGAACACATCACGAACAAACTGTACGACAACCATTTTCAATAACTCATACTCCATACTATGGGACAGACTTCCATCTGAGGTTCGTGAAATCCAGTCAGGGATAAAGTTCCCACGCGCTATACTTTCATTTCTAAACGCAGAACAAGCTATTGGTATACTGCGTCCTACCATGACAAATGAGTCCCGCACGAAATTGGTGCAAGATGGATATATCCTTAAAACCAGAGTATTATACTTTCTGTTGTTTCCATACCTTCCTACCCTTTCCATGTCTATTAGCAGCTAAAAGCTGTTTTCTAAAGAAAGATTATCCTGATTACCATGAAGTTTACGGTTATAAAAGCGAAAATATATCCTAAATTCCTCTCTAGTGAAGTGTTTCACATTCATTCTACAGTACTAATCATTTTCTGCCTTTTCCTTGCGCCCACCTCTTAGGCACGAGCTGCAGTTCTCTGTGCTCCGCGAAAACCACATAGATATTATACCCGCTTTTGACTGGATTCATCTGAGGGTACTATCTGAAAACCTACTAGGATCATGTATGTTTGCGACCACTCTGATCGCTTACCTCTTTTAAAATCAATCTCCTCTTAATAAACGCAGCTAAACTGTCTGGACGAGAGTAAACTTGCTTTACACTGCATACCGATTTCTGCCGCTTCTTGGAGAAAATATCTTGCGTAACTAAAATATGTCAGAGGACCATATAAATTGATTTCACATCAACCATCTCCCAAATTTTATCTTCTACAACTATTGGAGCCATCTCAATTATTTCCTCAGAAAATTCTTTTTGAAAACATGTACATTTCGAAAGGGTTTATGTCTCCGGTGATAATTTGCACAATCTTTATTGGAGAATTTTGGACAAAAGCCCATCCTATTCACATTACTGTTCCTTCATCCCTTTTCTTTTTGTTTAGTTCTCTCCCATTACTTTTGGCCACGACTGGGCCGATCTCCCGAGGTGATGGATAGACGCTTCCAAAAATTGCAGTGCATTCATGAAATGCAAGTTGTCACCAACTCACTGACGAATAGTAAAATTGCTAGACCCGAATTGGCTAAATGCTGGCTGTATGATAGTTAGAGCTTAACATATTACACGTTCCCACAAATGAAAATATATAAATATTTATGTATAATGTGTCAAAATGGTGATGACAATTTTGCATATGACAACAGCCAAAATAGCGAGTCAAGAAGCACATTGGCTACTTGCATTAAGCCACGAGAGCGCAGGGTCAGATGAGATGTGTAACTAATGTTTGTAAGCAGGTCTCCGGGAGACATTTCTATGAATTTTACTTGAACTGACGGATATAACCACTTTTATTCACACTCCAAACTTTCAATACTTTACTATTTTGCATGCATGAGCCCTTCAAACACTTTAGTGAGCACATTATAGATCTTGAATTATTCCTCCACTATCCGAGTGCGTTGTACCACTTGATCAGGCTGGTGTTTTGCCTGTGTCTCACATGTCGCGATTTGGACCGTTTATCTATTTATTTATTTATTTGTTTATAGCTCGATGACTCACCTTCCGGATGGGTACCACTGTGTCGGCTGGTTCCTTGCAAAATTGACTCAAGCAGTTCAGTACCCAACGCACATCGATAAAGGTATCTATGGCAGAGGTGGAAAACGTGGTAGTTATCCACATTGCGTTGTAGTGTATCTCTCATCGAGCAATGCCATGCCTCGTCTAGCTCGCGCTGGAGGATCTCGTGGTCGTCCAGTTACTTGATCGATTGCCAAATGTTAACCTTAGCTGCGTAAAGTACAAATTTTACGCGATAGATCTCACTAGACCGTTGATGGCTACTAACAATTATCGTGACCCAAGTTTTGAAACCTGCTGTACACTGCACCACCCGTATGGGGTTGGATAATGAGGTTGTACATCTAAACTCCAATTGCCGTTTGTAGAGAAAGTTACCAATCAATCCTAACATTGGATCTTTGATTCGATATAGCCGCAGTTTGCGCAGGAAAATTCGATGATTTTAGTGATCGAAAGCTCTCAAAAACTCCATGTAACTAACATCGGTTCGTCTCCCGTCATTGATTGTTTCCGTCCAGTTGTCACATACTGTCAGCAGGTTCATGAAACATGATCAATGTTGATGATACTCATGCTACTCCGGCTCAAAAATGCCGTAGTTTCCAGGTAACCCATCAGTACGTAAGTGATTATCGCTTCCATGACTTTGATAAGCAAAAGGAGAAGATTACCGGACGGTAATTGTCCGAGTCAGATGGACTTCTTCCCTTGTGAATAGGGGTATTACATCTACATGTTGACGGTGCTATGTTTACGTCAAAACAACAAGGAAAATTCCGTTAAGTGATTGGGCCAATTGATTGACTCTTATTTGCCGTGCTTTAATACAAAGTTTATCCACTCCAGGAGAGCTGTGTCTACGCAAAAATGGTAGCTTTCTCAATACCGTTTCTGCTCTGCATGTGATGCTTGCTTTTACTGATAGTGTGGTGACAGAAGCAAGTAGAGCCTTCGAGGCTTTTATTCCTCGGAAAGTAGGCAAGTACTTGGCTCATAAGGCGTTGGCAGCGTCCTTTGCTGTGTAAGCATACCCACCAATCCTAGTGAGTGGTGAGATTCCGCGCTGCAGCTTTAGAGGACCATTCACATGTCTGTTCCCTTCGTACTCCCTGCTTTCTTGAATTTCCTGCGTAATACGCTGCCCCTAA